AAATAATGCTTATTCAAATACAGGCAGCTTGGGCATCACATCAAAGGGAGTGAAAAGAAAAAATCAGATTTTTTCCCCACTATGCCCAGTGTACATCTTGTCTTTCTTTTAATTAGCCCATGTTGGTTTGAGAGATTCCTTTGTCCTTAATCCCTTTATCTGGCTGTTGGCTTTGGTCTTTGCTTACTTAATAAAAGAATGGCATTCTTTAAGCCCTCTGAAAGGTGAGACAATGTGTAGCCTCCTTTCTCATAAGATTCAATAAGATCAAAGAAGTAGAAATATTTCTCTGTGTGGCTGACACATTCATATTATGTGCTTCATAAGTATGCCATTCCTTCATGCTGCACCTTTGCTGGCTCCATTTTTGATGATTTAACCTTTACAGTGTTTTTTACCTTTGGATTCCTGATGTGTGATACCTGTACTAAAGTACAACCCTCTGACTGACATGAACTTTGCAGAGAGAATGTTGGTAAGTGGGTGGATTACATCAGAGAAAATCTTTGTGCCTTCATTAATGAGTGTTCCTGTTGTACTCCATCTTTGTGGGCATCACAGAGAATGGGATCATCCCTAATTGGCACAGTATATGCTGCACATTCATTTGGGTGCTAGTACAGGTAAGTAAATGGCAATACTGGACCGCAGTTTAGAGTGATTTTTGCCCATAGTACCAGTGTAAATTTGCTGTATTGGTTCATAGCTGTAACCATATTTTTGATGACCAACTTTCATATTTGCTTCATGTCAACAGCATGTAGAAGAGGGTGTTGTGAATTGCTTTCTAGACCTGTTACTCAGGTAAAAGAAATGAAATCACTAGATCAGAACTGTAAACAATCATAATGATGGTGTGCTTATCAATTGTTACTGAATCTTGACAGTCATGAACACACAAATAGAGTTTTGCACTATAAGAGCTACATTTAGTAGGTGTCCATCTCCAATTCCCTCTCTTAACACTTGCTCGGAGGATACATTGCCATAATATAGAAGGAGCTGTTTGGATGCCTATTACATTGAACATTTCAATGGGTTTTCCTCTTTTTTTCTGTTTTCACACTTTTATGCTGGTATCTTGATTTATTTAATTATCTATACAACAAAATCTAATTGTGATAATACAGTATTGTTAGTGAGAGATGATTTAAATGGCAATTGATGGGATATCCTTCAACTTTCTTTTGCTGATCAGTAAATAGCTATTCCCGATTGGTGACAGAGGCAATGTCACTGTTGGAGGAGAGGGGAATATAAAAAGGCATTGGGAGCATGAGAGAGGAGCATAGCCACAAGCCGTAGTTTTTCCATATGCCTACATTTGTCGGTCTCACAAATCTCTAGTTTCGTTATTATAAGAAGCCTCAGTTCCTTTAGAAAACACTGGAAATCAGAAATAATTAGTTTTGTATTCTATAATATATATGTAATATCATCTTGTCTAAGGAATTATAGTGAGTAAGATCTTCAGAGCAGGAGCTATGTGTTCCTGTGTGTTTGTACTATGTCTAGGACAACAGGGCCCCAGTTCTGCTTGGGGCTTCTGAGTGCTTATGCAATATAAATAGTCATTAATAATTGCTACACTCCCCGCAACTGGCAATGTGAACTCCATTCAATTACTGATAACTCCGTGAAAAGTGGGAGCGGGAATAATTTCATGACTTGCCTCCTACCTCTATTTGTCTAGCCAGCAAATGCAAAGATGGCCCTTGTGCAGAGCAGAATGGGCTGGGAAAGGAGTATTAATTGACTGTGCCTAGTTCTTCTCTCCAATCAGAGGAGATACACAATGCAGAGCATGAAAAGGTAGGAGATGAACAAGGGCTTAGCCATAGGAAGCCTGATTCATGAAGACCATCTCCATCCAAGTAGCTCAAATCCCACCAGTAGATGAAAACAGCATTCAGATGCCCTCCTTGGTTGTACTGTTACAAGAAGAGGACAGGTGGCAAGTTCAGGGAACTTCTTTGGTTGGGTCTCTTCCCTTTTACTGTATTTGCTGTGGTAGTATAAGACATTGTACATTTGTTGTGGTTAGCTGTAAGTTTTGGATATTCATAGGCTTAGTAAGAGCTTTGGATTTTGGCTCCTTCACCAGTTTTGCAATAACTTACCAAATAGTATAGGCACTCTGGGCTAGATTCACAAAGGGACTATGGGGCTGCTGCAATGCCTCACTTTTAGATGCCCTGTTGCCCAGTGGAATTCACAACCCTGAGTTAGGCACCCAGGCTCCCTGTACAATGGATGGGGAAAGTTATGGGATTCACAGAAGCCGGCACACGGAGTAGGAAGCCAGATGAGCTAGCCCTTAGGAAAAGCCAAGCAGATGGCTGTGGCATAAACCCTGCCCCTCTCACAGAACTAGGTTCCTAACTCTGCTTGGGATTCATAGCTGTGAAACCTCTCCTGAAGAAGGTGCCTAAGCCACTTTTTGCAAGAAATGTAGAAGCAGGTACCTATAACCGTTAGCCCAGTACTTAGGGCCCTCGGCTGAGTTGTGGGAAGCCTGTGTTCAACCCCCTTTTCCTAATCATGCAAAGGAGGGAATCAAATCTGGGTTTCTAATATCCCAGATGCATACTCTACCCACTGGCCTAAGAGGGGGCTCTCCTGCTCAACCTTGTGAGGCCATTTTGTGTGGGTTAAGACAGGAGAATACCTCATTTGTGAATCCCACTGGAGCTTAGGCACCAACCTGCTGGGTGGCATCAGGGCTAAGGCTGTGTGCATGCTCAGTTGCCTAAATTTAGGCCCTTTGGCAGGCCCTTAGGTGCCTAGGGATGTTGGGCGGCAGCTGAGTAGGGGGTTTGTGAATGCCAGTGGTGCCTAAATGTTTGACTTAGGTGCCTTATTCCCTTTGTGAATCTAGCTCTCTTGGGATAACTAACATTATGCTATTTGAAATGTGACCTTTTCCACTCTGCTGTTTGAAGACAACCTGAGGAAAATCACTTGGGCTGAGTTGCAGAGGTGCTGAGTTCTCGCAGATATCCTCTGAACAAGTCAGGCCAGCTCTGCATTATGGACGCTCAGACATAGCTTGACAAGTTGCTGCTCGGTGTTCAGTTCTAAGTCGTCGCTTTGATTTTCTACGGTTTCCCACAGTAAATGTGCATATGCTTGCAAACTGTGTCCTAATTCCTACAAAAATGTACTCTTGTAGTCCAAATGGCACTACTCCCAATAATAAAGTTAAGCACATGCATGAGTATTTGCAGGATCAGGGCCCAGGTAATCATGAATGCCACCACTGAGTCCAAATCAGTTATAAATGCCTACTCATATGCATCATCTGGACTCAGAAGGCAGAAATGTTTCATTCCCGACTAGTGTAAATTCAAATTATGTGCCATTCATTCGTTATAGTTAGGAAAATATAAAATAGCTCTTCCCTTATCACTCAGATGAATCTAAGGTTTTTCCTATACCATGGAATTTACAGCACCCATATCTCGGCACTGACTCTGGATACGTGTGCAGGAAACACACCCCTATCCACCATCCAAACTTGGCACTGAGACTGAACCAGTAATTAGGCCAGGGGTGGGCAAACTTTTTGGCCCAAGGGCCACATCGGGGAGTGGAAATTGTATGGCAGGCCATGAATACTCACAAAATTGGGGTTGGGGTGTGGGAGGGGGTGCGGGCTCTGGGGATGAGGAGTTTGGGGTGTAGGAGGGTGCTCTGGACTAGGATTGAAGGGTTTGGAGGGCGGGAGGGGGATCAGGCCTGGGGCAGGGGTGCAGGTTCCATCTGGGGGTGCAGACTCAGGTGTGGGGCTGGAGGTTTGGGGTACAGGCGGGTGCTCCGAGCTGGGATCGAGGGGTTTGGAGAGCGGGAGGGGGATCAGGGCTGGGGCAGGGGGTTGGGAGAGGCTCAGAAGATGCAGGCTCTGAGCGGTGTTACCTCAAGCGGCTCCCAGAAGCAGTGGCATATCCCTTCTCCGGCTTCTCTGGAGGCGCGGCCAGGCGACTCTGCATGCTGCTCCATCCGCAGGCATTGCCCCTGCAGCTCCCATTGGAGCGCGTAGGAGCCGGAGTGGGGCCATGCTGCGGCTTCCGGGAGCCGCGTGTTGCGGCCCTGCGCCCCAGCTGGAGCGAGGCCAAGCCGTGTTGTGCGGCACCTGACCCAGCGCCCCAGCTGGAGCGCTGCTGAGCTGTGTGGTTCGGCCGCCGATCCAACGCCCCGGCCAGAGTGGGGCCGAGACAGATGGTGTGGCTCACGAGCCGGCTTAAAATGGCTCGCGGGCCGGATCCGGCCCACAGGCCCTAGTTTGCCCACCCCTGAATTAGGCCCTTACTCATGTGCTATAGTACTTTTTTCCATAAGAGTTCTCAGTGGGACTACTCATGGAGTAAGGTGCTACTCAGTGTCAGACTATCAGACTCCTGCTTTTAGGGACTCCTGAAACTACATCAATACTTGTAAAAGCTTGCAGCAAGTTAGGAAAAAATTTAGAAGTTTGATGGGGAAGAAGGGTAGTCAGAGGGTCATGTATCCTCCTAAACCCATCAGTAATACCATACGTTGAGTACTTTTAAACATAAGTACTTTTGTCACATGATAAATGAAACAACTTTTATTATAAAAATATACTTTATTTAAAGTCTATGCATGTCTTGTACCAAGACTTAGCTAATTTATTGATGTTTAGCTTCAATGACAATATGTACACCTGAAAATGTGTGAACTATTTAAATTGCAGTTTGACATACTGCAGTAAATACAGAAACTGATTTATGCACTACCACTGAAATCCACTCTTCCTGGTGTGTGAAACCCACATACACACATTATGCCTTATTTAATACTTCAACTGTGTAGGTTAACAGTGTAAAATAAATAATTGGCAAAGCCATTCAAAACTAGTTTTCTTTGTTAATAATTTACTATTACTGTAAATGTCATAAAACCTTTATAAATTATTTTGTTCCATCTTTGCAAACAACATGTAGCTTTAATTCTGAAAATTGCCTGTCACAGATTAAAACTCAACAACTATTTCCTGGCCAAATCCTACATTTAAGAATTTTTAAGTAGCTTTGTACTTTATTGGAGTCTCTCCTGAAGCAGTGAATAAACTCATAGTCACTCATCAAATTTGCTTCATTACTAATGGATAAACCAGCTGCTTCTGATGATCCCATTCCATTCAATGAATTGCTGATGATTCCCATTGACTGCATCTGTATTGAAAACAGAATATGTATGACTGTAACCTGTCAATGGATATAAATGTGCATAGAACCAAAATCCTCAAAATGCTAGTGTTGAAGCTAACAAAATCAGGGTTTATAGAACACCCATTAATGAAATCATCAGCTAATGTAGATTGCTCACCTCCAGGTTTTTTATGTAAGTACTGAAAAAAATTGTGCAAAGTTCTCTAGAGAAAGGAAATGCAATACCAGCCTGCTACCCAGAGCCTACATAAGAGTCTGACTAGTCGGAATTGGTTTCATATTGTTTCAAGAAATTCTGCCTCTGGAAGCAGAACTTTGGCAATGCTATCAAGGACATAACACCCTTTGAACATGGAGTAGGTAAAGGCCACTCTTCAGTATGGCTGCCCCATCTCAAGATAGTACAGTGGATCAGTTTTCTTCAGACTTGTAGCCTTATTTAACGAGCTTCATCTAGTAAGGCGCTAGGGCTTCTAGCAGGTGCTGAGCATCCCCAAGAGCTGTTAAAGTCAATGCAAAATGAGGGCCCTCACCAGCTCTTAGAAGGACTGGCCACCTGGCAAGATCAAGCCCAGACTCAGTGTAATATGGAAAAATACTGTCACATGACACTGTTTATGCAACAAGTAGTTTCAATTTGATATTGTTTCCTTCTTATACTTTACTATTTGTGAAACCTTGGTAGCACGTACAGAACAATATGGACAGAGCTGCCGTTCCCTCAGAGAGCCTCCCATCCAAGAATTTCCCCAAAACAAGTTGTTGAAATGGGCCTGAGCTACAAACCTGGATACAAATATTCTGAACTTGGGCGAAGCTTGAATCTGTTTTTGAATTTTATGTTTGGCCCTAACTCTATGATGAACTAAACAAAAATCCGGATATTAAATGCCCCTGAATTCTGGGGAAGTTCTAATCCATATTCATAGCCAAACTGAAGATTGGGCTTCTCCATTTATAGCTCTGTCCTGTGAGGTGCTGTTCAATTTCACTTCACTGGTGGCTGCATTTCAGCAGTGGATAAAATGACCCCTCTGCTGTATTGCTGAGTTGTATGTCCGTTTCAATTTGTATCATCCTGTGGTGAGATATTAAGGTTTTTTTCCTTATTTTTTAAGTGTTTAGTGGGATGTCTGCATGGGAATAAACATGTTAATTGTCAGAGACAAAGAAAATAGGCCTGATTCTTCATTCCTTGTTCAGTCTCAGCTCCAGCTGAGTTTAGTGAGAGTTGTGAGTGCACATGGAATACAAGATCAGACCCACTATCTGGTAATTAAAAGTGAGAGAGCTGCAAATATAATCAGATGCCACAATGTACATTTATCAGAAGGCATTTGTCACAGGGCTTTAAAATACACCTCTACCCCAATATAACGCTGTCCTTGGGAGCCAAAAAATCTTACCGCGTTATATTGAACTTGCTTTGATCCACCGGAGTGCACAGCCCCGCCCCCCCAGAGCACTGCTTTACCGCGTTATATCCGAATTCGTGTTATATCGAGGTAGAGGTGTAGTTATGTAAGTAGCTAGGGGTGGAATCCAGAAAGGGGCTTAGGTGTTGTGATACTCAGTGTTGCAATGCCTAACTTTTAGGCCCCTAGCAAATCTCAGGAACAATTCCGTGATCCACAAAGCTGAGTTAAGTGCCCAGGCTTCCTATACAATGAATGGGGAGAGAAAGCCACCTAAGAATGAGATCCACAAAAGCCAGCATGCTAGGCAGGAAGCCGCCTAAGCTAGCCAATGGGAGATGCTGACCTGCTAAGACCCTGCCCCTGTCTCCGAGATAGGTGCCTCGGTCGAGGATGCAGGAAGGTGCCTATCTCTGCTAGCTATCCATGAACAGGAACCCTTCCCTTGGCTTAGGCACCTATGTAGTTTCTTGCTGGAATGAGTTCAGTGCTGGCCTTGTGCCACACAAAACATCCAGAGAAGGAAATGGTGCTGGGGCCCACCTTTTAGTCCAGTACTCAGCTGAGATGTGGGGGAGACAGGTTCAACTCCCCTCTCTCTAGCAGGCATGGGAAAGATTGGAAGTGGGGGTCTCCTACCTCTCAGGAGTATGTTCTAACCACTGAGCTATTGGATAGTCTGATGTGGGGCTCCCTCAGTTTCTCCTGTTGAAGCTGTTCCACTGTGAACACCCATGCTAGGGCTATATCTTTGTAATTGAGAGCAGAATTTGGCCTCGAGAACCCTTTGGTATTTCAGTATAATTGATATTAAAAAAAATTAGGTTGAAAATCTTGCCTTCTCTGTTACTTTCTCCATTCCAGTCTTCAGCTCATGCACCATATTGCTGATTTGCTTTGCTTTGCTCAGGCTGTCACTAGATAATTCTTGATGATGACCAATATTCTGGTCAAAGTGGGAAAGTGGTTCCTTCCAGGCTTGCAAGAGTCTCAGTATCAAGTGAGTTAGTTCTTCTCTCTTGAAAACAAAATATGAAAGAACTTTCCTATTAGTGGCATCAAAGCATATGAACAGTGACGTTCTCATTGGGCACGGTATACTTAAACAGATAATGATACTTAAAATCTGGGCACACTTAAAATCTCTATGCATACAATTCATAACTAACTTTCAAATGTTTAAAAAATAACAGTTTCATGGGCTTCTTCTCTCTAGTTGTACATTAGTATGAACAAAAAACCAAAATGACTTTGCACATGCAACTTCTTCCCAAATTGCTTAGGATCTCATTCTGTAATCAAATTCTGCATCAAAGTGGTGGTACTTCCTTAAATAGTGCTACATTGATATCAAATGCTAAACTGCGGAGTTGTTAGATGGAAAAAAGTCTTAAGGGAAAACTTTCAAAAGTGCCTAAGGCCCAGATCCACAAAGGGACTCGGGCATTGCAATACTGAGCATTGCTGCTCTTAACTTTTAGGTGCCTAGGAAATCACAGGAACAACACTGAGGTGCGCCAAAGCCTGAGTTAGGTGCCTTGCTCCCTACACAACGAATGGGGAGAGATAGCTGCCTTAGGGCTCCTCTACATTGGGAGCTTACATCAGCATAGCTACGTCTCTCGGGGAGTGAAAATCCACACCCATGAGAAATGTAGCTATGCCTTCCTAACCCTTAGTGTAGGCAGCGCTAGGTCAATGGAAGAATTCTTCCATTGACCTAGCTACTGCCTCTCGGGGAGGTAGATTGCCTTCGTCAATGGGAGAACCCCCCCATTGGCATAGGTAGGGTCTATGAAGCACTACAGAGGCATAGCTGCAGCTGTTTCGCTATTGAGGTATAAGTGTAGTCTGCAATCCACAAAAGCCAGCATGCTAGGTGGAGAACCACCTAAACTAGCCAATGGAGAGGCTAATGAGAGGGGTGTGTGTGATAAGCCTGGCCCCTCTCAGGAAGATAGGTGCCTATCTGTGCTTAACAATTTACAAAGGAAAACCCCTCGCCTGGAATCAGGCATTTTAGATGTCTAAGTAGTTTCTGGTGGGAATGAGTTAGGCACCTGCCTCACTCCACACAAAACAGCCAGAGGAGGAGTTGCTGGTTCCTACTGTCTAACTTTTAGCCTAGTGGTTGGCGCATTCCTTTCGGATGAGGAAGATACAGCTTCAGTTCCCCCCCTCTATCTGAGTGGGAGAAGGGATGTGAACAGGAGGCTTCCACCTCTGAGCATTCTAACCACTGAGCTATGGGGTAGTTTGATGTGGGGGCTCACTCAATCTCTCCTTTTGAAGTTCTTCCACTGTGGCTAACTAATGAAAGAGTGATTGGAGCGGGGGACTAGATTCTGTGTCTCCCACCTTGCACGTAGGTGCCCTAATCTCTAGATTACAAAGTCTTTCTCTGTGGCCCAGTTACATTTCCACTGTGGATAAATAAATAGTCATTGGGCCAGAGAGCAAGAGAGCATGAGAATGACTCTGGTTCAGTGCTTAGGGCACTACCTGATAGGTGGAACAGTTTTAACAGGAGAGACTGAGGGAGCCCAACATCAGAATATCTTGTAACTCAGTGGTTAGAGCTCTCCCCTGAGAGGTGGGAGACCCTCCTGGTCAAATCTTTTACTGCCCCTCAGGCAGAGTGGGGGAGAATTGAAGCTGGGTCTCCCACATCCCAGGTGAATGCACTATCCATTGGGCTAAAAGTTGGAAGGTTGGAAACACCTCCACTGGTGAGATTTTTTAAGTGGACCCAATGCAGTACACCTCTGAGCACACCTTAGGTGGCCAAATGCCTATGTGTCCCCTGGTTCATGGAGTGCTCCAGAGCTTATGCAGGAGACGGGCATCCAGAGGCGTAGGGAGTCAGCAGTGCACATGCTCAGAGGCAGGAACTTCTCTACCTAGGGAATTTTTACACTGAAAAACATAGGCACCAAGTGAGTATAGGCACCTATAGGGTTTGGCGGGAGTTTTGTGGATTGCAGTGGAGTCAAAACTGGGATTTAGGCACCTAAATACCTCTGGGTCTGGGGCTATGTGACTTAGGAGCCTAAGCCTCTGACTTTCCATGAGATTTAGGCTCCTAAATGCTTTAATTGCTTTTGAAAATGGCACTAAAGTCCCTTAGCTGCTTTTGAAAATATTATCCTTCTTGTCAGCTGTATGTATTCTGAGCCAATCTGTTTTCACTTGCAAAGAGAGAAAAATCCCAGGAAGAGCATTTCCCCATTATTTTAACAGTCAAAACCAAAGAGAAAAGTTGCTAAATAACACTTTTGTAGATTTCTTTTTCTTTTCTCCCATTTTTTCTTTTTATCCATCCCCTTTTTACAATATTTTTCACACCTGTCTTTGTGTCCTTGGCTTTTCAATGTCTGCTTTTCGTCACTATTTTTAAAATACCTATTACTTTTCTTAGCTTTGAGCTCCTACAGTTTCTTTGCTTGATTTCTGTTCCTCACTATATTTTTTCCTCTTTAAAACTTTTCTGTTTAAAATTTTTTTTTTCTCCCCCCCCCCCCGCCCACATGGTTTTCTCATAATGGCTTTCTAAGTTTTACAATGGCACGGATTAATCAAATTTATTTGTAGAATTCACAGCTACTTCCTAGATTTGTCTTTCATTGTGCCAGAGTAAATTAAAGGGAAAATGTATCCCTCTCTGTCCTTTGGGATGTCTGACCTTTGTTTAAGTATTTCAGTGCCGTTTTTATAACTAATGAATGCGAATTAATCTTATAGAGCCCCACAAACATTATTTCTTACAATATAGAAGGAAATTGGGATTAATTGTGGGATCTGAAATTCATCAGCTACCCTTCTTACACTCTGCAAATATGTAGGATGCAAGAACTTTAAAGAGGAAGCATCAGCTATAACTAAGGCTATGATTTTGTCACAGAGGTTGCGGAAGCCACGGAATCTGTGACTTCCAAAGACCTCTGTGACTTCAGTCCTGGCGGCTGGGAGCTGCAGGGTCCCACCACCTCCCGCAGCGGCAGGGAGCTGTAAGATAAGGGCAGCAGGGGTACCCCACAGTTCCCAGCCAGCGCAGGGGTACTCCACAGCTCCCCAGCCACCACCATGCAAGGGGACCCTGGAGCTCTGAGTCTCCACGGGTGGTGGGAGCTCCCAGCCAGCCCGCAGCTGCTCAGTCCCTTCCCATTTTATCATGGATATTTTTGTAAAAGTCAGGGACAGATCAAGGGTTTCCATGAATTTTTCTTTATTGCCCGTGACCTGTCCCTAACACTTACTAAAAATATTCATGACAAAATCTTAGCCTTAGCTATAACATTCCAAGAGTACAAAATCCCCCTGGCTGGGACTATGCTGAGAATCTGCCTATTAGTCAGGTGGGGCTCCCTACCGGCAGGTGCTGAGCGTTTTCAACTTCCTCTGAAGCCCGTGGGAGTGGAGGGTGCTCAGCACTTTGCAGGATCGGGCCTGCCTCTTCAGTGACAACGTTCCTTCCTTCCCTCCTTAGATAATAACTTGAATCTGGCACAGCTCAGTTTGACAAACTGTCCCCTTGAGTTTCCCCATACGAATAGCAACCGTATCTGACATCACTGCATGCCATATCAACTCCAGTGCACGCTAATAGGGCCTTACCGGTATTTTTTGGACATACTCCTTGCCATTAGGCGTTAGCATCCTGGAGGTGTGGCATTTACCTGTCCATTTGCCCAACTCGTTTCCATTGGGTAGAAAGTTTTTTTCCTAAGGGGAAGAAAAAGAACTCAACACATCAGATGTTGTAAAACTGTAGTTTGTAACTTTGGTGGTTTTCAATAGCCATTTTGTCACCTTGCATATTTCCTTTTCCCAAATCCCCACATTACAATCAAAACACTGACATGCAGCGGGAAATCTTGTTAGCAGAGCTAGCCCATGGAGCTACTATGTCACACGTGGTGTGAGTAAATGAATACGGCGCATCTGACAGTGCCAAGACTTTCCCGCTGCTCCCGTAGACGATCAGCGATACAGAACGGAGACAGCAAGCAACAGACCGACCGCATACCCAGCCCCGGGCTTTAACTGTCGGGAGGAGAGAGGAAGCCAGATGCTTTGGCAAACATGCCCTGAGGTCAGAGATCGCTGCGTGCCCGGTTCAGGTGGGCAGCAGGGGCGATCCCTAGGAGAACGGGGAGCCTGTGGCGTGGCAGGACGGGGCACTCACCAAGTCCACGTAGAGCGCCGTGGAGAGGCTGTGTAGCCTGTCCGAGTGCTGGATCACCCGGTCGAAAAGATCAGACACAGACAAGAAGCGGCAGCTCGAGTCTCCCTGCCGGGCACAAATTGCCACGAAAACGGCTCCTGGCGGCTTCCCCAGCAGCCAGAGCAGGGCGCACAGCCAGGCGTAACCTGGGAAGAGCGGATGGATCAAGACCAGCCCGCTACCCTGCAGGCAACGCTGGGGCGCCGACTGGTGAGGGGTCGGGGGCAGCTGCTTACCTTTGCGCGCGGCGCCCATGGTGCAGGCGGGAGCGGCGGGCGGACGCTGGTCGGGTTGCTCTGGGATGCCCCTGGCTCCCCTATATATGCGCGCGTGGAGATGGGCACAAGGGTGAGCTAAGGCCACGCGGGTGAGTGCGGGGCGGCTGCTGTTCGTCATTGCGGGTTCCTCAGCGCGTGCCTCCGGGCTTGCGCGGCCCGCAGCGGGATTAGCAAACGGCGCGGAGCGGGGCCTTGGCTCGGAGAAACGCCGCAGCTCTGAGCGCGCTCCGATGGGGCGGCGAGTGTTAACCCCGAGACAGTAACTAGGGGGAGCGAGGAAACACTCCGCGTGGGTATTGGACATTTCACACGAGCACACGCAGACTGTGTGCCCCAATAGGTCAGGGGACTGATTTTTCCTCTGCCTCACCAGTTTTAAACCAGTCACTCCACTGACTCCAGTGTGGAATTAGGCCTGATCTATACTGGCACAAGGCAGAGAATAGGTCCTTTGTATATAGTACCTACACGAGGGGTGCACACTATGGCCTTGGCCTCCATCAACGCTACTCTGGGCAGCACAGAGAACCACCGCTGGCAAGTTGGTGATTCCCCAGCTACCCCTGGCTGGCACAGAAGCAGCCATACTAACCCCATACCATCCCCCTCTCCCAAACACAACCCCAGGGTCGGCCTTAGGGAGAACGGTACCCTGGGCAAACTTGTATTTTGGCACCCTGGCACTTGCAAGCGCCACGCCTCCATCGCCTGTGGCCCCTGCGGGCTCCCCTCCCCCCCATCACCCGCGGGAAGGGCTGCACAGGCAGGATCCCCCGGCCACTGACTACTCTGCCACAGGAAGGGGGAACCCAGGAGCTGGCTCTCTGGCTCTGCTGCCTGCACCTCCCCACCAGACTTGCAACTCGGGGTTGTATTGCCCACCCTCTGGCTGGCTGGCCAGGTGCTCCAGCCCTGGGCTCACCTGCACTCACCCCGCTCTGGCAGCCCAGGCCCGCCAGCTTGCAGAACTTGGATGGTTCTGACCAAAGTGCCCTGGGCGGTTGGCAGGTTGCCCATGTCGCCTACCCCTAAGGACAGCTCTGAACACCCCCATCATGGTGTATGATGCTTAAAGCAGTGGCAGAAGAAGATACTTTTAGCAGCAGCATTTTGGATTGATAGGACCAGGGGAGGTCAGAGAAACGAAGTTTGCAATAGTCAAGATGAGATAATTAAGGCATGAATTTTGCAGCAGGGAGAGTGAAGGATGGTAAAAGGCAAAAATTAGGTGTGTAAAAGAGAGGAAAAATCTGAGGAGGCCTCAAAGGCCTTTTCAGTTCATAATGAAAGAGAAAACATCAGACAAAAATTCTCTATGCTTACTGAAGGCAGAGGGAAATATTCAGCAGGATCATTGAAGGGGACAATGCCTGGTATCTATACTGTGGGAGCACTTGCCAGGTTAAATGTACTTGTTTCACTGTTCATTTGTTTCAGTTCTGTGGTCTGCATTACAATATCAGGGATCCTGTTATTAGGATCTAGGCATTATGGTCCTGATTCAGCAAAGCTGTTCAGCCCCTGCTGAGGTCCATTCCTATCCAGCAAAGCACCTAGGCACTGATCATTATGCCTGTGTTTCCTCCAAATTTTCTAATCTAGAACTTCATAATATTTTGGCCCAATCCTGCAAACATGTACACAAGTGAGTACTTCAGCATGTGAGTAATCCTATAATTTGTTTATGTAAGTTTGCTAAATCGGACCTTAGGCCCAGGTCCACATAGGTATTTAGGCTTCTAACACCCATTTGGGGATGGACTTTAGGTGGTGGTATGTTCAGCATCTACAGAGTCACTCTCTCTCTCTCTCTCTTTCTCTGACTCAATGACTGTTCCACTGTGCATAAATACTTAAATAGTTGGGGGGATGGCTGGGAGAGAGAGGGTCAGTCAACAGCCTGCTGCAGGAGCGGTGGAAGCTTCCTAAAAATGGGGGGGCCCACCAGCACCTGAACCATAGCCCCACCCCACACCATCTTCTCCCCGATTCCCTGCCCTCACACTGCTTCTTCCGCTGATGTCTCACCCCTGCTCTTCCTCTTCCCCCCCAAAATCCTGTTTCCCCCTTGCTCCTCTTTGCCCCCCCCAGTTGCTCGCCCTTATGGCCAGTAAAAAGTGGGGGTTATGGCCCCCTGACTCTCCCTGTTCCAGTGCCCCTGGCCTGGTGGTTATGGCACTCACCTGGGATGTGAGACACCTTGGGTCCAGTCCCCCTACTCCAGTCATTCTTTTGTTATTTAGCCAGACTGGAACAGCTTCAACAGGAGAGATTGAGGGACCCTCATCAGAATATCCCATGGCTCAGTGGTTAGAATGCTTGCTTAGGATTTGAACAGGGGTCTCCCACCTCATTTCTCCTCCTCTGGGTCTCCTGCATCCCAGGTGAGTGCTCTAACTACTGGGCTAAAAGTTACAAAGTGGACTCCCTCTCTGGCCTTTTTGTGTGGCGCGAGGCAGGTATTTAACTGATTTTCACAAGAAATGCCTTAGGTGCCTAAGGTATCTGACTCCAGGAGAGGGGCTCCTGTTTGTGGATTACTGAGCAGAACTCGGTGCCTCCCTGTAGCCTGGATTTAGTGCCTATCTCTGAGAGAGGGGTGGAGCTTAGCACACACCTCTTCTCCCACAGGCTAGCTTAGGTGGCTTTGCGCCCACCCTGCTTACTTTTGTGGATTGCATTTTAGGTGCTTATCTCTCCCCAGCCATTGTATAGGAGCCAAGGCACCTACCTGAGCTTTGTGAATCTCAGGGCATGGCTACATTTGCAGATATAGAGCGCTGTGAGTTAAACCAGCCCTCGGAGAGCGCAGCAGGGAAAGCCCTGCAGTGTGTCCATACTGTCAAACGCACTGGTGTGGCCACATTTGCGGCACTTGCAGTGGAATTGGGAGTGGTGCATTATGGGCAGCTATCCCACAGAGCACCTCTTCCCATTCTGGCGCTGTGGCTTGTGTGAAGGGTGCAGGGGGTGCGGGGCATTCTAGGTCCTGTCCCAACGCCCCGTGACGCATCACTTTGCATCCCAGCAATCCCTGTGCTTCCGTCCACATTTGGCACCATCTTTCAACATTTTTTGTACTGCACGCTCTGTTTTCCCTTTCGGTCTGCGGGAATGGATCCCGAACTGCTGAGGAATATGCTGATGGGTCTCGCCAGCACATCAGGTTTGGCAGTCGAGTTACTCCTTAAGCTACAAACTGACAGTGAGGAGTCTGACGATATCGACTCGCGTAACGCATATGACACGAGATTGCTGTGACATTCACGGACATGCTTACCATTATGGAATGCTGCTTTTGGGCTTGGGAAACAAGCACTGAGTGGTGGGATCACATCGTCCTGCAAGTCTGGGATGACGAGCAGTGGCTGCAGAACTTTCGGATGAGAAAAGCCACTTTCATGGGACTGTGTGATGAGCTCGTCCCCATCCTGCGGCGCAAGGACACGAGATTGAGAGCTGCCCTGCCAGTGGAGAAGTGGGTGGCTATTGCAATCTGGAAACTGGCAACTCCAGACCGCTACCGATCGGTCGCTAACCAGTTTGGAGTGGGAAAGTCGACTGTTGGAATCATGTTGATGCAAGTTTGCAGGGCCATTAATCACATCCTGCTCAGAAGAACCGTGATTCTGGGTAACATGCATGACATTGTGGCTGGCTTTGCACAAATAGGTTTCCCTAAGTGCGGAGGTGCGATAGATGGGATGCATATTCCAATTCTGGCACCAGCCCACCTAACCTCCAAGTACGTTAATTGGAAGGGGTATTTCTCTATGGTTCTCCAGGCGCTTATGGATCACCTTGGGCATTTCATTGACATTAACGCAGGCTGGCCCGGAAAGGTGCATGACACACACATCTTTCAGAACATTGGCCTGTTCAGGTAACTGCAAGCCGGGACTTTTTTCCCAGACCAGAAGGTCACCATAGGGGAAGTCGAAATGCCCATTGTGATCCTTGGAGACCCCGCTTACCGTTTAATGCTGTGGCTCATGAAACCCTACACAGGGAGCCTTGACAGCAGCAAGGAGCGGTTCAACAACAGGCTGAGTCAGTGCAGAATGACTGTGGAGTGTGCTTTTGGCCGTTTAAAGGGCCGCTGGTGCTGTCTGTATGGGAAGCTGGACCTGGCTGATGACAGCATCCCCGCGGTTATATCCGTGTGCTGTACCCTCCATAACATTTGTGAAGGGAAGGGTGAAAGGTTCACTCAGGCTTGGAACTCGGAGGTTCAACACTTGGAGGCTGAATTTGAACAGCCAGAGAGCAGGGCTATTAGAGGGGCCCAGCGCGGGGCTGCAAGGATTAGGGATGCCTTGAGGGAGCAATTTGAGGCTGAAAGCCACCAGTAATGTTTGGTGTCCTGCATGGGAGTGATGTGAAGTGGTTCCAATGTTAGTAGGAATCTGTGATTGCTACACTAACTTGCAGTGCCTGGTTGCTTTCCTGGGCTAAGGTATCTTTTACTTAATGCAATAATAAAGAATGTTTTCAAAGCCAAAAAATCCATTTATTTAAAATAAAATTCATTTATTGAAAAGAAACACAAATGCTTGGGAAACAGAAAGGGCAAGGGGGTGGGGTGGGGAACGGTTCAATCACAGATTTGCGTATGTCCTGTTCTCATACTCAGCCTTCCTGTCTGGAGTGCTGTGCAATGAGTGCTGCACTTCAGGCTGGCTAAAATGCATGGTGATGGGGGTTGAGTGCAATGGGTAAGGGTCGTAGTTTGCAGGGCTGGGTGGTGAAGCTACAGGTGTTGGAGGCAGCTGGTGGCAATAAGAACCTGAATGTTGGGGAAAGTGGGTTGGAGGTGATATGTGGGCACAAGGGAAAGAGTTTTGGGACAAGGGCTGCGGGCGGGAGGAGAGGGGGACGGGCGCAGTAGTGCTCTGCCTGCATGGCTACGAGCACCTGGATCGAGTCCGCTTGGTGCTCCATAATGTTTATCAGCCGCTCCGTGCTTTGTTGCTGGTG